AAGTTGAAATGCGTTGCCTTACGGCCAAGAAGAAGAGTTTACTGTGACTGCTACATCCTGCATCAATGTCATTTGATTTGGATCTAGTAGGAAACTGAGTAACCTTAATATTGTCCCACTACAAACAAAATGAAACCATCAAATGAGCTATATTGATCGAATAGTTTGCCATCCTTAACCGCTTATTTTCTCTTCTTCGTCTTCGTCCAGAAGGTTGTCATAACATCTTCCAACTTTCATTTTATTATTGTGAAGAATGTTATGATTATTTTTATTATTGTTATCCGAATTGCCAATTTGATGAGTATCACCCTCTCCTTTGTATATATAGCTATGATATGACGAACCCTAAACCTCGTTGTTGAGGTATTTTACAGATTTGATCTCTTGGAATATAGCATCCTAGTCATAAACATCATAACAATAGATCAGTAGCTTGAGTCGCATTTATCGCATTGGCTAAAAAAGATATATTTTTCTAAAAAAAAATATGCGATATGCTGTTCCAGACCCTCTGAAACACTTCGATCAATAGAAACAAGATATGTTTGTACGATATACAAATTTAGCCTCTTATCGACATGAAAGACATTTTTCTTTCTTTTAAAAAAGGGTGGAATTTTTTATGCTGACCTTATTCTTAATAATATTGACCCGAAACAGCCAACAGCCCTCTCAACTAGAAAAAGTGAACATCGTGAATGGCATTAATGTGGCTAAATGAAATGTGTCCCGCTCCAAACATTGAAGCGGCATTTTGCTTACCTGGCCTGTTGCTTGGACACGACTGGCACTGTGGCAATGGCTGCTGCGGCTGTCTCGGCCAGCTTTGGTGGACTGCTGACCAGCGGGGGGCTGCAGACGCGCGGTGGCGTTGTTATGCGCGGCGGACTGTGCATTTGCCGCGGTGGGCTCTTGGCTAGCTCGGGCGGTGAGCTGCGCATCAGTGGGGGCGAGGGCATGGCTGGTGCGCTCTCGCCTGCGGGCGGGCTCTGAACGCGCTCGGCGCTCCGCTGCGATGACCTATGCGATAGCGCTGGACTCCTCTCCGAGATCGAGGCCTGCGATTTGAGCGATGTCTGTGACTTGAGCGAAGCTTGAGGGGACAGCACCGGCACCACGGCTGCAGCAGCGGCGACGGCTGCGGCAGAAGCAGAGGCTATAGAACCGGTTCGGGAGCCGGTCCGTGAGCCTGCGTGCGAGCCCGTGCGTGACCCATGCTGGGAGCTAGTGCGGGAGCCAGCATGGGAGCGCTGGCTACCGCTGCGACTGGGCACACGGCCGTCTGACTTGGGAGACCCTAGACCTGCGTTGCCAGCGGCCATGGCGGCAATGGCGCCACTGGTGGACATGATGCCACCGCTGGCAATGCTGGCGGCTCGGGGGGAGCTAATGCTATCGCCTGGCTCATCATCGTCGGCATCGTCGGCGTCGTCATCGCCCACATTGGGCGATGTTTTGTCCATGGACAGTTCATCGGTTTCAACCTTGGTTAGGTCTTCTTCATCAGCGTCGAGCGACTGCAAATTCTCTTGCTGCTGTTCATCACGTTCGTCCGCATCCACATTGATATCCTCCAGACCTGCCGGCGGTGGCGGTATGAAGGCACGCCCCAGACTGTCCTCGTCCAGCTCGGCAAAGTGCTCTGGCGGTGGTGCAATTATCGAGGATGCCGAGTATCCATTGCTGGGCGGTGTGGTAATCGTTGTTGACTCATCCTCATTGTCTAGAGATCTGCTGTACTCCTCGGTGGCCAACTGCTGACCACCGCTTACCAGCTGCTGATCCGGCTCTGGCTCTGGCTCTGGCTCCGGCTCCGGTTCCGGTTCTGGTCCTGGTGCTGGGCCTGGTTCTTCATCTTGATCCTGCTCCATTCCCTGCGGTTGCTGCCTTACAATGGGCTGAGAATTCGGCTGCGACTCCTCTTCGCTCTCGGACGAGGGCGTTAGAGGTGGTATCTGACTTACGTGCTGCGCTGGTGGCGACACCATCTTGCAGATGTTCAGTTCCGGGCACAGCGGCGGCGTTGCCGGCGGAGATGGAGATGTCGATGGCGACTTAGTTAAAGGGGGCGTGACGCTGCCCTGCACATACGACAGATTCGAAGGCAATGGCGGCAGCGGTGGTGGCGGTGTCGATTTCTCCTCATCCTCATCTTCTTCTTCCTCGTCATCATCATCATCATCATCGGCATCGGCAGCATTGTCCTGCTCCTGCTGCTGCTGCAGCTGCATAGCTACTGGTGGCTCAATGACCGCCTCCTCGGCATCGTCTGTCTCCTCCCCATCGTCGTCATCGGTGCGCAGTCCGGCATCATCCATGGGCGACAGTGGCGGCGGCGGTATCAGCTCCAGTTCGAGCACAGAATTGCTGGAGGAGCCGGGCGGCGAGTTGGCCTCCATGCTGAGCTGCTGCTGTGGCGGCGGCGTTGGTGTTGGCGGCATATCATCCGTCTCCGTTAGCGTCGGCAGCGGCTGGCCGAGCAGCGTGGTTGGCGGCGGCGGTGGTGGCGGTGCCACCAACAGCAGCATCTCCTCGCTCAACGGGACTGTGGGCAGCGGCGGCGGCAATGCCATCTGGATTCCAGAGCTCGAGGCGAGCGCATCATCCAGATGTGTATTGCTGTTGTCCACCTCCTCGATATCCGAATCGATGCCCTGCGCAAAGTCCATATAGAAATTGTCGCGTGAGTCGCTGGAGCCGCGTCGCAGTTTCAGCGACAGCGACAAATCCGGTGAGCTATCCATGCTCTCTGTTCGTGGTCCTGGTCCTGTTACTGTTCCTGTTTCCTCTGTACCTCTTTCCTTTCTGCCTCTCTCTCTCTCTCTCTCTCTCTCTCTCTCTCTCTCTCTTTCTCTCACTCCCTGTGTATCTTCACTCTGCACTCAAATTCCTTTACTCGAGCCGTGAATTGTTTTTGTTTGGCCTTTGCCCTGCTCCTATATTTTGCGCCTTTGTCCTTTTTGTCTGTTGGCTTTTGTTATTGTTTCTGCTGTTGGCGCTCTTCACTTTATAGCGCTAACGCACATTGTGTGTATCCTGTGTATCCCTAGAAATGCAAAAGTTACAGCTACACACACGCACACATACGCACAGGCACGCACACGCAGGAAAAGAAAAACTTTGTCAAAAGCCACTCTGTGTTGCAGGGTCGGGCCGGCGGTGTGGGGCGTGGCAATTGCATTTGCTGCGCATTTGGCCTTCTACGCCACAACTGCTTTGCGTATTTGCGCGTGTGTGTGTGAGTGTGTGTGTGTGTGTGTGTGTGTGTGTGTGTGTGTGTGTGCGAAAGTGCGTAATTTGAAAGACGCAACAGCAGCAACCCCGAAAGGGCAAGCGGAATTGCTAAGCAGACAAAAATATTGTTGTTTGCTGTTGCTGGTTTTACGCCTGTTTGGTGCGCAGTTTTTGTTGGCTTACTGACCAAATACACACACATATACACGCACACTAACACACTTAGACAGTTACCGTTAAGCGATATAGCGATGGCTTTTGAATTCTAACGGACAGCACAAAAACTTTATGTATGCCAAATGCGAAGCCAACGCCGACGCCGACGCCGACGCCAACGCCGAAGACCTGGCAGCGCCTACACAGGAAACCACCGTGCGTCTGTATGCGTGTGTGTACACCAAAAATAATGCGTATGCCTCTGTGCGAATGTGTGTGTGTGTGTGTGTGTGTGTGTGTGTGTGTTTTTGTAGGGCAGGGATTTGGCTTCTTGTAAACTTTTTTGCACAGCAAACGAAAGCGCAACGGTTAATGCAGTTAACTTGAAAATACCGTTATTTGATATTTACTAACAATTTTTATTGTGTTCTCTTTATTGTTGAATATTTGAAATACTTTAGTTTTTGTTGTATTGCAATTAATGCTGCCGATACCGTTACACATTCACGTTAGCTTCGTTTCCGCTACGTTTCGGTTCGGTTTGTCTCGGTTCCGGGTTTCTGGAGGCACACGGAGCGCGCCTGACGCTGGGATTTTTCGATTCCTGCTGCGGCGGCACTTAATTCTAGAATGAAACGCCAGCACGAGACAAAGCTGCGCCACTGCCGTTGTCATAGAAAACAGATGCCACAGCCTCTCAGCCAGAGCTAATGTCAGAGCCAGAGCCCGAGCCGGAGCTGTAAGCAGAGAGAGAGAGAGAGAGCTCGACAAATGAGAGCAGAGTGGATGGAGTAAAAAGAGAGAGAGAAAGAAGGAAAAGGAACGAGAGAGAGACAGGGAGAGACAGAGAGTGGTAGCTGCTGTGTACAATGGTTGTGCTCAAACGAATCATGAATGAAGACTAATATATATGGAGCATCCACATGAGCGGCCCACTGTAAATTGTCTATGGTCTCTCAACCTCTTCGATCCGGGAACAGGTTGAATGCGGCACTGCGTAGTGACGCCTCAATTGAGAGCAGAAGTAATGTGAACAAAACAACAACTACAGTAACTACTCGGTCAAAGCGTATGTGCGCACGCCTCCAGACCCTTGTAAAGTGTGCTGGAATTTCGCATATTTTGCGCGCGAGAGAGAGCGTATTTGGTGTAAGTAGAAAGCCGCCATGGTGGTGCAATACGCTATTAAATTATTATTTAAAAAATAATAATAACAAGCTATTATCAAAGAAACTTTTTTTACTATTTGATATATGAAATACTTTATCTAGCTGATAATTGTAAATCAAACGCGCGCCAACGTAGTGTTGCATATCGCGATTACAAATAATATCGTTTGCCTTAGGTAACGCATATATCGGTAACTTTGCCGATATTTCTTTGTATAAAGCTAACATTTTAGCGCTAAAGTTGTTTTACGCCTCTTTTGAGCTCCAAAATTAATATGCTGATATGCGTTTTTTATATGAGAGATCCATATTGGAATATTAATTAAATTAGTGCCACTGTGATTGCGATGCATCACACATATGTTTAAAGGCAAAAATACTCAACACTATCAGCTTGTGCCTGACATAATTATCGACAAGCCGCCACAATCTATCGGCGATTAGCTTGCAACTCTTCTAGACAATTTGACAAAAAATATATATATAAAAATATACATATATGAAAATAAAATCAATTACAAAATTCCAAGTGTGTCAGAATAACTCAATGTTTCGGAATCGCTTATTAAATTGCAAACGAGTGGACCTACAATGAGTTCGCGCAGAACGGGTGCTGGGCCCACGCTCAACTTCAAAGCGGTGCTGCTGGGCGAAGGTGAGTAAACCTCCAGTCGCAATTGGATGTCTCTGTGCTTTTTATATTTGTAAAGCGCTGCGCATTTTGCAGGCTGCGTGGGCAAAACATCGCTGGTGCTGCGTTACATGGAGGACAAGTTCAACACACAGCACCTCAGCACGCTGCAGGCTTCTTTCGTGACCAAAAAGGTAACACTGCCAGATGAGCAACGCGCCCAGCTAAATATTTGGGACACAGCCGGACAGGAGCGCTTCCATGCATTGGGGCCCATTTACTATAGAGGCTCGGATGGCGCATTGCTGGTGTATGATATCACCGATCAAGACTCCTTCCAAAAGGTCAAGTCTTGGGTACGCGAACTTAAACAGATGCGTGGCAGCGAGATTGCGCTGATTATTGTGGGCAACAAGACTGATCTTGAGGACCAGCGCGCCATTAGCTATGAGACTGCACTGCGCTATGCGCAGACGGTTGGCGCACAGTACGTAGAGACGTCCGCCAAGGAAAATGAGGGTGTCAACGAGCTGTTCGAACTGCTTACCCAACTGATGGTAGAGCATTATGGTAGTAAGCAGCAGAGCGATACCAATGCGTTGCGATTGCAAAATTCCAGATTGGCGCCCAATGCTGGCGCCATTAGCATCTCGGATGACGCCGAGGCGGATCAAGAGAATGGCCACGCAGCCGCCGCACACCGCTCCTGCTGTGGCATCTAGGCTGCCTGTCAGTCGTCGTCTATTGTGATAATACATATGTACTAGTAGATCTGTAATCGATGTGTATTTGTATATAATGCGTGTATTTATGTATCCCCCATACCATATAGTACCATGTACAATGTGTTGTTGGCATGTGTAGATAAGTATGATGTTATGAATTACCCATTTTGAAGGGGCATCCAAAACTCTGGTTTAGTATATTCCTTCTTTGTTTTTGTGTAACTCGTTACTTTAACTCTTGTTTTTCTTTTTTTTTTTTGTTTTTTTTTTGTTTTTGTACTTTTGGAAATTGTTAATTAAATCTTTTTGTATGCAACAGTCTATTAATAACTTGTGAACTTGTTAATTTCTTATGGCTGCGCCTACTTTATCTCTATAAGTATGTGGCGATAAGAAGGTTCAATAATCTGCAGGCGCTATTAAATTCACAAAGTGTCTCGTGACTCTTCATAATGGTTGCCGTACGAGACAAACAGCTTAAATACTCTGTAACAGGCGTTGTAGAAAATTAATTTGGGGTTATTTAGTTGTATTTTAGATACATTATACAAATATATTAAACATAAATTACCTTGAGAGCTTACTAAAATGAAATCATTTTATAATGGTACTAAATATATTTTAACGATTAATCTAGTTGAGTAATGGGCTTTGAATTAAAACCCAAAAATGTTTGTTTAACATTTAAAACGTTTTAAAAGTACACAGATTGTGCAGGTATTTCTTAAATTAACGAATTATTATTTAAGTTAATAAGTTACTTCCCATAATATGATATAAGTGGAAAAAAGTCGAGTCGAGTAAACAGAATTTTCAACATTCCAAGAAAGTTAAGTAATTATATAAGCATTATACATTGTTAAAACTTTTTGAAAAAAAAAACCATATAAATATGACATTACGGCCAATGGCCCATCATTAGGAGCTAATTTAAAATTCACCAAATTGCAGTGAAATGTTTTTTCCACAAGGTTGAAATGAATGCAATACATGGACGACAGAAGTCCATTAATGTAATGAACTAATGTTGTCAAAAGATTGCGCTTCAATTAAATGAATTCGTGGCTTACCAAATTAACCACGCATGTCCACGGGCATGTCATTTGACAAAAATGCGCTATAACATGCTATTTATTTGTACATGTATATATACGATACAGAAAAAGCCTTGTGTTCAAATTCTCAACTGTCTTGTTATTAATGCATTGTCAGCTGCCTTTTCATTTGGTGCGCTTGTTACAGGTGAAAAGCGCCTACCTAGCCGCTAATGGAATTGCTGCGGCAACTGTTTTTTTGTTTTTGAATCACGCCTAACGTCGGCACTGCGCCAAATAATTGAGATTCATTTTTATTGGAACCTTTTCGTTTACTTGGCATAATTGCATTGATCATGAAGCCGCTGCTCCTGTTCTTAAAAACGGGTCTCGTCTATGGATTCGTTGCGCTTTTCGCGCTGCTCTCGCACCTGCTGAAGAGATCAATTCGAGCGCTGCACTCGCTGGGCCAGCCATGAGACAGCACAAGGTGCGAAATAGTGCCAAGTAAATAATAAGTATAAGTAATTTCTGTGAAACTTATTCAATATGTTAAAATAAATATTTGCATTTACTAGATTGTAATTTTTCAACTCAAGCTATTTCTTTAATTAACAGTACTATAATTTAAAATATAATATTTTAAACTCAAAAGGCTGCAAAAAAAATGTATAAATTTAAGTGTACTTATTTTTGAATATACAGCTTATAGCTATATATTTGAAGAATTTGAGGTACTACTTCATACGCTTTTGAGAGAGTGGCTGCTTTCGAGATCTTCGATAAAGGGCAGCAGTACACTTAAGGTATATACTGATACATGTCTATCCATCCACATATCTATCTATCCACATATCCATTAGATAAGCTAGTTTTAAGCGCTTTGATTATGACAAGTACAAACTATCAGCCTAACATTATTATTTTAAAATAGCTCCGACTACTTAGACAATATCAATATAAGTATGTATACCGGATCCGAGATTACCCAGTCAGCTGCTTGATCCCGTCGGACTTTTCACAGTTAATTGCTTAGGTCGCATTAATTATAGATATTAATAAGAGAAAATAGGCTAAGTATCTACTAGATATTTTGCAATATATTTTCTAAATTGAACTTAAGTTAACCGTCTTGATGACAGCCGCACACACAGCTTATCTGCTATCGGGGCTCGGCCTAGCTAGCTATCAGCGCCATGTCGCATATAAATCTTTTTATCAACTATCACTGTGCCGGCACATTGGGCCAATATGTGAGTACATTTGCTTATTGTTGGCACAGCAATCAATAATGCCTAATCGTCAACACGTTCACAGGTAGAGTGCGTCAGGCCGCCCGACCACGATAAGGCCAAACACAATTAGCCCATGACACCAAAGAGGCACACAGGCAGGCAGGCGAGAACGGCCACTAATCGCTGTTAATCAATTGGTGGGGCGCGCACTTGGGCCTGAGCATGCTATCTAACGACCATGGCAATTGCCGATGACCGTTCGAGCGGGCTGGTTGTTGGGCCAACTAACGTGGCCGCAGAATGCGCCTGCAAATGCGCCGCACGCTGACGCTGCTGTTGCTCTGCGTCTTCCTGTTTGGAGCGCTAATTTACAAAATAATCACCTCACCGCTTGTGGATCAGAATGGCATATTGCGTGAGTATCTGGAGAAGAGGGCGGCCACGCGGCCAGCCACGCGTTCCATTTTGCTCTGGAGCAGCTTCTTTGGGGATAGGCGTTGGCAGCTGCCGTTTGATGCGCTGGGACCGGAACAATTTCGGGATGAGCTCAAGTGTCCGGTCTACCAGTGTGAGCTAAGCAATCGTCATGACTTCCTGCCCAGCCTGGAGCTCTATGATGCCATCGTTTTCCACGTGGCACAGCCGTTTCCGCTGCTTAAGCCGCTGCCCGCACGTCGTAGTCCACATCAGGCGTATGTCTTCGCACTCATGGAGCCACCGGGCGAGACTAAGCACCAGCTAAGCGATGAGCTTAATTTCTATAATCTAACAATGACCTATCGACTGGATTCGGACATTGTTTGGCCCTATGCCCAGCTGCTGGATGTGGAAACGGGCGCACCAGTGGCGCCCGGTCTACAGCCGCATTGGCGTGAGCCACCGGCACTGGGCAGCTGGAATGACAGCACCGTGTGGCGTCTGTGGCCAACAAAGACGAAAATGGCCGCTTGGTTTGTTTCCCACTGCAAGACGCTGTCAAAGCGCGAGCAGCTGGCTGCTGCACTGCAGCAGCACATCCAATTGGACATCTATGGCAGCTGCGGCAACCTCAAGTGAGTATTCAACTGAATCCAATGCCGGCATAAAGCTAATCCAAGTCATCGCTCAGCTGCGCACGGGGTGATCCGCGTTGTGATGATATGCTGGACACGGATTTCATGTTCTACCTGGCCTTTGAGAACTCGCTGTGCATGGACTATGTAACCGAGAAGCTATATGCTGCACTGCAGCGTCACATTGTGCCCGTCGTGTTTGGCGGCGCCAACTACACCCGATTTTTGCCGCCGCATTCGTACATCGATGCGGAACGCTTCGACAGTGTGGAGCAGCTGGCGGAGCATTTGCGTTTTGTCGCCGGCGATGTGCAGGAATACATGAGCTACTTCTGGTGGCGGCAGCACTACAAAATAGCCAACAGCTCGCCCTTCTGTGAGCTGTGCGCTCGGCTCCATCATCCCAGCTGGGCGCATAGAACGCAGATCTATGGCGATATACAGGCCTGGTGGTTCAACAGTTGTCGCCTCGCGTCCCACATACGATTCTGAGGAGCGCAGCAATAGCCGCCACATGAGACTGAAAGGAATGCAGCTATATGCGTGACAATGTGTGCAAGCGAGTCGAAATGATAAGATAATGATAGTGGATAGAGGATAGAAGAGAGAGCAACAAATGGACGGTATTTCGGCGTATCGTACTATATACTATATATGGCCATAATATCATTAGCTTTAAATTGCGTGTCAAAGGCGTACTTCACACGCCCATTGCACACACAATTCTCTCCAACTGGTTAATGCTGTCTTTGTTTACTTATCACGTCGAGCTCTTGAGTTTCCATATGTACATGCATAGTTCCTTATCACTATTTATACATTAATGAGAGGCTTTATTTACACGGATGTTTATAGGTATGTATATATTTTGTTATTTTGGGGTTGTTAAAACTTGTAGCTAATCAAACTATACCTGACTTTGTATACCTGCTTATCAGTGGGTTAAACTAGCTCAGTTGATTATGATACAACATTATCTTTCATACCTGTGCGCCATAAAGTTCTACATGTATGGTATAGATAAATATATAAATTTAATATGTCTTCGACTGTTATTAGTTTAGCTCATCTTTAGTCTGTAGTATATATACTTTGGTAGTTAGGTATAGAAAATAATAGTTAATAACTAAATCCAAATATTTGCTTGCATATAAAGTAAATTAAAAAAATGGAATTAAATTAAGGTCATAATCAGATAAGCCCTTATATTTTAACTGGACTTGAATATTACCCACATCCGGTTGAAATACAATATATCACTTGATATATTTGCTAATAATAGTAATATTAGTCATTCTGCAGTTCGGTTTATGAGTCAGACCAACTCGTTGCCTTTAGGTTCGATTCGAATTGCTGGTATTACACATTCTGGAGCTCAGGTTTTAGTGCAAATCTTGAAATGACACACATTCTCAAATTTAAAGAAGACAATTTAATTTCAAAATTTTTAACTGATCCTTCTACTGAAAACAAATATATATTGTTAGAGAAATGATTGAATATGGTGAAATATCTGTGGTTTGGGAGCTGGGACTTTCTCAAAAGCTATTTGAATTTAAGAAAATCATTTCTGAAAATAATTTGTTTAAAAATAAAGAAATTAAATGGATTTCCGGCTTCGAACAGGTTCGATTGAAGTAGAAACTAACTAACCTATAAATACCTTGGTATTCATCGGATACGAACCAGGTTATATAAATCATCATTGAAGCGGTGAAGCATATTCGATTCCTTTGTTGAAGCTTTTCGAATTAATTCAATTTAAGCTGTTTTTCCGCCTCAGGGCTGCGTAATGCGGTTTTGTTGCTTTGGCGTGACTCACGAGTAGCTCACGGGTCACCAGTCACGAGTCACGCGCACGCGCCTAGTCAAATGTCAAGTGTCAAAACCGATGAAAGCGATAACAATGACAGGACTTGATTTGTTGTTGTCTCTCTCTGCTGCCACCCCCGCATATTCTCACGCTCATGCATTCGCCCTCTCTCACTCTCCCTCTCTGTCTCGCTCTCGCTCTCGTTCTCTTTGCGAGCGTGAAAGCTTAAGTTGTTTTTGTTAAATAAGCTTATGCCTTCGGGCTTATCACGTCACAGCTTTCTGGCACAGCAGCAGCTCCCCACAGGACAAACGACGTCAGCTGTGTGCATGTGTGTGTGTGTGTGTGTGTGTGTGTGTGTGGGCACGTGTTCTTGTGTATGTATATGTGAAACGTTTTTGGTGCTCGCTATTCGCGCAGCTTTTTGCGGCAAAGCTTTTGAAGGATACCGCTGCGTTTGGCAGAAAAGCATTTCCTATGAGTTTTCTTGGCATTTCCATTCATTCTGTGCTAGATTTCCCGATAGTTCAAATCAGAGGTAACAGAGCAAAAAGCCATTCAAATTTAATATAAATAAAATCCAGCAAATACCGAACCAATACCCAAAAAAAAAAACACAATTAATATCTAAATAATAATTGATTTGCTCAATTTGGAGCTCAGAAATAGTTGTTTTTTTTAATTGTTCTTTAAAAGTGCGCAAGAGTGAGACGTAAGTTGCATAATTTTCAAATCAAAAGAGAAACAAGAAGCGAGCGGAGAGGAAAAACCCAATCAATTTGCACGATGCATTTATAATTATTTTCCTTTATTTACTTTTTATTCTTTGGAAAGTGTGAGTGCTCGAAAATCGCTGAGAAAAGCCAAGAAAAACTATCAGAAAACCGAAAGCTGATGAAGAAAAACTTTTTCATAACGTGTTTGGCATGTGAGCAAAAAAAAGAAGATTAAAAAAAAAAAACGTGTAACACGAACATTTGTGTGCGATTGTGTGTGTGTGAGATGTATGTGCGTAGGCGCGTTCTGCTCTGGACAGTACTAGTGCTCTCTTCCCTTCCCTCCCTGAACACTCTCTCTTCCCCTCTGCAGCAGCGTACCACATACTATATCTTTTTTTTCAGCCCTCCGCTCTGAGTGCGCCTCAGAACCATCGATTTTTCCGAGCTTTAACAAAAACGCCAGCAACACAACGGCAACAGCAAGAACAACAACAAGCATAAGAAAAAGGTACTACTGCCCCCCATTTTCATTGACGTTTGTCCTTTTTTTGCGTACTCTTATTTTGTGTAGCTGCCCCCCTTTGACGCATGTAACCAAGTGGCCTCAGCACCTTTTGCGTATTTCGTAATATTTTGAATGCTATTGCCTTTGTGCTCGACAATTTCCATTAAACGAATGTTGACAACTAGCCCTGAAATCTATTTGTTTCTATACACCCTTGAAGCTTACACTCGAAGAAAGTGTTTCTCAGATGCAGTGAAAGCTAACGCACTTTCAAGATCAGAGCGGAGAGTGTATCGGTTAGTGAAATGCTTAGTTCATCAGGCTGCAGAGCTTTTTTGCTTTTGACTATTGGTGGATATATTTTAAGAAAGGATTTCGTTTTAGTTTAATGTGTGAAAGTTAGTTTGTTGCAAAGTTCATTATAAGTATTTAAACAAATTATCACAATTTTAAAATGTTTTCGTCAAAATATAAATTTTACAGTGACAATTTGATAGACACTTCGGCTGCTCAGAAGTCCAGGGAATCCATTCACACTTGTGATAATATAAGTATATGTATATTATAACATAGATATAATTTATTTAATTTCACCTGATTAGTTATTAAACATTTTCGTCATGATTTTCCTTTAGGAAAATGAATAAAATATGGTAGCAATTAAGTTTTGTACAGAAAATCGTGACTTTCGAAGCAAAACACACATTTTCTTATATCGTAAGCACTATTTTAGATAAGATAAATGATTTATGTTGCATGCTGCGGGGCGGCGCAGGTGTTCAATTTCGTTTTCATTACCAATCGACCATGGACTACTGTCGTTTTGCCCAGTGTAGGATAAAGCTGTAATAGTGTTGCTGCTGTTGGTGTGTTTGTTGTAACCGCTGTGGTGAATTGTGGTGTGGTGAAAAAGCTCTACCAAGTGGCAAGTTCATGTGTAGGTACACAATTGTGTCAATCCGCTGCTCGGAGAGTGTCCGTGTGTGTGTGTGTGTGTGTGTCAAAAAAGTGTTTGAATTTTTCCATGCAACATTCGCAGTGGAAAGCCAATTGAGACAAGCAAATTAAATATACATATATCAAATATTTAATGAAAACGCACGATAACACCAGGAAAAGCGTCGAAAGGTTTTCGTTAAGTATTTCGGCAAATATTCTGGACATTGCGAGGGGTCAACGGTGCGGCGGTGAGTGCCTTCGTATCTAACCCATTGCCAAATAGAAAAATGCCTATTACTCATTCAATACATCGATATACATATATATATATATATATATATATGTGTATATAGATATATTTCGTATATATGAATGCGTACATTTAGCCAAATATACCCAAAAGTAGTGAGTCTTAAACAAAAAGCTTCCTTCAGTTTCTGCGTAGTTTGAATACTCTACCTGAGATGGGATGCTGCATCCGTTTTAATAATTTACTGTATATATGATTCGTAGCTTATATAATGCCCGCGTCAGTCCTCCTCGCCCTGTAGAGCACGTTTCAGTTAGATCCACATACACTCATGCATTTATATGGACGTATGTATGTATGTGCGTATACAGAATTTTGTACTAGATGTTTGTATGTGTGCCCGTGTGTGTGTGAATTTGTATTTGCAGACCGATCTCGATGTCTCCGCAATTAGATAATGCTTAAGTTACCAAAAGGCTTAAAAAAGAAAAAGAAGAAGTCGAAAAAGGACCAAGAACTCTTCACCGAAGAGGAGCTCGAGCAGTATAAGCGTGAGCTCAAAGCCAAACAGGAGGCTGCCGCCAACAAATCAGACGCTGGCGAATCGGACGCAGCATCGGACGTCGAGGGCGCAGCAGCCACATCCAGTCGATCAGCCGTTTCGGCAGCAACATCAGCCTTTGCGGCAACAGGCACTGCCCACGAGCAGCAGCAGCAGCAGCAGACCGCTGACGCTGGCGACGAAGAATGGGCCAAGTTTAAGGCGCTAACCTCAGGTGTCGATACTATATTACACAAGACACAAGACGAGCTCGATCGCATCAAGAAGGAATCCTTTTACCAACGCCTGCCCTCGGCAGCCGAAAAGAAGAAGCAGGAAGAAGAGGAGGCCGCACGACGTGAGGCGGCAAGACTCGAACGCGAACGTCAACTAGCCGCCGAGCGCGAGGCGAATCGCGACAAATTAGCGGAGGCCGTTGTCCAACTTTCCGACTCGGAGGACGACCAGCAGGACGAGGTCGATGACATCTTTGCCACTGACTACATCGAGGCAATTACCAGCGGTGAACTGCAACTAACTGCCGTACCAGATTCGCCCGTGCTTGATCTAGACGACGGACCCGATCCTTTTGATACCGCTTACGCGGAAAAGGTCATTGTTGGCGCCGACAAGGCCAAGGGCAACAAGAAACTCGTCAGTCTCGGTGCCGCCGTTGAGGTGCTCTCCGGCCGCGTCGATCGCGAACACGCGCTCGCCTTAGCCAATCCCAAGCGGAAGCTGCGCAAGGGCATACAGAATCTACTGCTCAGCGAAAGTGTTGAGCTAGCCGATCCCGAAGCGGATCTCTTAGCTCCCGAACCCCAGCATAATCTACTCGACGATCTCGTCGATGACGCGCCCGAATGTGTAGGACCCATTGACTTGAGCGTTTCGCTGCACTTGCATTTGATAAAGCCCCAGAAAGTCGACGAAGACGACGAGGAGGGCGACGAGGAACTTGGCCAGCTCAATCCCGATCTAGCCGAGTTTGATGCACTCAACGACGAGGAGGACGACGAGTTTGCAGAACTAGCAGCAGAATCTCTAACCAAAAAGGAGGAGGTTACCATAGTTAATCAGGTTCTGCTGCCGCCTGCGGAGATACTCGCCGAAGCCGCGGCAGAAGCCAGTTGGGCAGAGTTTGAACCCGAACCTGAAGAGCAAACATCAGGTAAGAGTTGAAATTCTTGTGCATAGGCGGCACAGAATCTCCTATGGAAAACTTAATCGATAACGCTCAGACAGAGAATCCTTCAAAAAGGAAACGCTCCTCTTATCCTTATTAAAAATTATATTTATCTAAGCTCATATCGTTACAGGTAAGCCGAAACGTCCACCGCCACCGGGTCGTCCTGCCACTGGACCGCACATTGTGCCCGGCGCTATCTACGTTAGCGACGACGAGGACGACGCCAATCTAGACGACGATCCGTTCAACACTTACTACGCGGAACAGGTGATCAAAAAGACAACTGTACTCGAAGAGGACGACGATTTCGATCCGCGTGCCGAGGAGCCAGTTGCCGATTCGAATTCACTAGCGGCACCAGGTCGTGACCTTTTGGCTGGCAGTGCAACCGATCTGAGCAAGGTTGTGCCTGCGCCACTTGCGCCCACGCTAAGCGTCGATCAGCAGGAGCAGGACTTTGATCCATTCGATACATCGGCCATCAACGCACTCGTTCAGCCCAAGGCAACAGAGTTGCGATTTCTGGAGCGTGAACTGCTTAACGAAACCGGCTCAAGCCTAAAGCACTCGCTGAGCGATCCGGACTTTGATCCGCGTGCAGGCCAGCCGGAGATCGTCGCGGCGCCAGTGCAAGTAACACAGATTTCCGCCCCGGAGCAGGAATTCGACTGTGCCCGCCGCAAATCATCGCTAAGCCTTAATATACAGGGCAAGAGCGTGGGCTTTTTGGTGCCCTCGCAGGATTTGCTAGCCGCTGGTAATGACGGTTGCCTTGGTGCCAATAAGAAGCCACTGACACCCTACTACGCGCCTGCTGCCCAGCCCATTGCCGAGCGCGAGTCGGAGGATCCGTTCGATACGTCGTATGTGCCCGAGGCCAAGCTCAGTGACATTGAGCTGAAGCATATTGAGGCCGATCTAATTACAGAACCAACATTGAAACACAGCTTATCCGATCCAGACTTTGATCCGCGCGCACCGCCCACACCCGTGCCAGCAGAGGTTCTGCTGGCCGTCGAGGAGAATATCAATATCAAGGTATTGACGCCCGCTCAGGAGCGCAGACGGCTGCCAAGCAACGTACAGCTGGACGAGGACCCGGATCTTGATCCATTCGACACCTCAATCGCAGCCAATTTACAGCCAGGACAAACGGAACTAAAGCTGCTCGAGAACGAGCTACTGCCCGATAGCGCCAAGCAGCCCATCACCGGAGTTCTTGATACTCAGAGTGACGCACAGGAGCTGGGACTGGGCGATAAGGTGCTGACGCCGTCGCTGCCCAACCGCACAACACAGGAGCTGCTAGAGCAGCAACAGGATATTGATCCTTTCGACACTTCCATAGCGGAGAATCTAGCGCCAGGCGAAACGGAAATCAAGCTCCTGGAGAGCGAGCTCATCGAGCGCTAAGCAAAGTCTGGAAACACAAACAACTCAAACGAAACCAAACAGAAAAGATGGCCAATCCGTTTTTGATGGACGACGACCTGGATAGTGGCGATGTGGCCGTGAATCCGTTTTTAGTGCAAACCGAACCAGACGCGGGCGAGTCGGAGAACCCATTCGGCGAGGCTGCGTCCAATCCGTTCGCTTTTGGTGGCGATGAGCTGGAAACGGAGGCAGAGCCTGTTGCTGACATCGATGCAGCCATGAGCTTCTTTGGCACCACCATCGAGGCCGAGGACGATGCGCTTAGTCTTAAATCAGCCGCCGAGGAGGACGATGAGGGGAAGAAGGCCGCTGCGCCACCACCGCGTCCACAGCCACCGCAAAGTACGCAGGAGCTAATACACACCGTCTCCAGCCAATTGGACGAGACAAGCTCGGAACTCTTGGGCCGCATACCGGCCACCCGCTCACCAAGTCCCGTGTCCATGCGCGACCTGCACTCTCCCAGCCCTACGCCCGACTCTGGGCTGGCCGACCTGCTCGATGTGGATGTGTCGGACAGCGGCTCCAGTGCACATAACCAAGCCATCGAGGCGGATCTCATGGGCGGCAGCATTGGGGCTCCAGCAGCTCCGTCGCCGCTTGACAATCCCTTTGGCGTGCCAACGGCGGTGCCCAGTCTGCAGGGCATGACGCCCATGCCTTCACCGGCCAAGCAGCAGCCACCGCGCCCGCCACCACCGCGCCCGGTGCCACCACGCCCAACGCCACCGGCTCACATACAGGGGCATGGACAGCAGCAGCCAGCGCCGCCGCAACGTCCACCGCCCCCATCTGCGCAGCCGGCTCAGGCCGCTGCCGATGCGGATGATCTGCTGGACATGTTTGGTAGCAGCAGCAAGCCGGCAAAGCCACCGCCGCCAAAGACCAAAGAGGATATACTTAGTCTGTTTGAGCAGCCAGCTGTGGCACCAGCGGTAGCTGCCAAACCAGATTTGCTCAACGATGATCTACCCGAGTCGCAGGCGGGCGGTGAACCCATTTTCACCTCGCTACTAATTCGGCCCGATGACAGCACCCATGACATTAGCTCACAGCCACAGCCGGCCACTGTGGCCACGCTCATAGCGGCTTCTCAGGAATCACTGCAACGGCAGCGGGCGCCTACGCCGGATATTGAGATTACAACCGTAGAGGATTTGCCGCGCTCCGATGACGAGGACGAGCCGATACCAACGCCGGTTGCACAGCCGCCGCCACAAGACGAGCCCGAGCCGAAACCGGAAGCGGAGCTGGAGCCGGAACAAGAGCCGGTGCCGGAGCCGGAGCCGAAACAGGAGGCCGTAAAGCAACAGCCAGAACAGGAACCGGAATCCGAAGAACCAATTCCCATAGAGTCGGACCAAAGCCCACCTACGGAGTCGGCGGCAACCGCACAGATTGTACACGAGTCCAACATAGTGCTGGGCAGCGATGAGCCGGAGCAAATGGACACTGGTCTGGACTTTCCTGGCCTGGCCAGCGGCCAGTTGTCCGCCAATCCCTTTGCCAGCCCCGAGGAGGAGGACGACCCAAGCTTTAGGCCGGTGCCGATTGTCAGCAACATCTTTGCTGTAGACGAGCCCGAAGTAGAGATGCCGCCAGAGGTACAGCCCCGCGCTGTGCCACCAGTTCCGCCACCAGCTGCCAGCTATGTGAGCAACATCTTTGCAGCAGAACCGGATGAGTTCGATGCATTCTCGGCCAAATTTGACTCGGTGAAAAAAGACAACATCAGCATACTCGACGGCTTTGGAGGAGGGGGATCGGGAGCTATAACCCCCACGGGTGGTGATGGTAAGTAATCGAACCATCCAAGTCCATGGCTTGTGGGACTCCGTTGATTTATTGTCTCTTGTAGCTTGGGGCGACAGCGCCTTTGGTTCGTCCACGACAACGGCAAATGCCTTTGGCGAGGTCAACTCGGCGGACGATGGTTTCGGGAATGAGGATGACGATTTCTATGCCATGCAGGCGCCGGTTCGTGCCGACTCCGTGGAGTCCGTGGACAAGGAATTCAGCGTGGTCATCAGACCAAAGGCGGAGGGCGCGTCTGGTGTGGCACCGCAGCTGGCGCCACCGCCGCCACCAGCGCGAACAATGGTGCAGGCAACGGCCGATCCGACAACCATATCGCCACCAGCGGCGACAGTGAATCCGTTCGAGGATGTAACTGGTTTCCCGGCACCGTCGGCCACGGAGGGTAGCATAAAGCGCACAGACTCGCAGGATACGCCACAGACGCCTCTGTTTGACGAGGATGTGTCGCAGCCACTGGAAGAATTCCCGCGGCTGAATTACGTTGGCCCCGGCTGGGAGATGCAGCTGCGTCAGCCCAACAAGAAGAAAATCACGGGTCAGCGTTTCTGGAAGAAGATTTTTGTGCGACTGGTGGTGCAGAACGATGTGCCGGTGGTCCAGCTGCTCAACCAGGCCGGCGACAAACAGCCATTCCAGGAGCTGCCGCTGCAGCCCTCCTATTCGGTGTCCGAGATTGGCGCCCAGCAGTACGATCAGTTTGGCAAGATCTTCACCATGAAGCTCCAATATATATTCTACAAAGAGCGGCCCGGCGTCCGACCCGGCCAGGTGACTAAAGCAGAGCGCATTACCAACAAGCTGACCAAGTTCGCACAATATGCCATCGCTGGCGACTATGAGGGCGTCAAGGAGTTTGGCAGCGATCTCAAGAAGCTCGGCCTGCCTGTAGAGCATGCACCGCAATCATCGCAGCTCTTCAAGATCGGCTCCATGAACTACGAAGACATGAAACAGTTCTCCGTTTGCATTGAGGAGGCCCTTTTCAAGCTGCCAGCACTGCGCGAGCGCGCGCTCACCTACAAAATGGAAGAAGTACAGGTGACGGCAGTCGATGAGATCACAGTCGAGCAGGACTACGAGGGCAAGATACTGAAGCAGATAGCGCGCGTACGCCTTTTCTTTCTCGCCTTTCTCACGGGCATGCCCACAATTGAGCTCGGCGTCAACGATATGTGGCGCCAGGGCAAGGAGGTGGTTGGCCGACATGACATCATACCCGTGGCCACCGAGGAATGGATACGTCTGGAGGCTGTCGAATTCCATAGCGTTGTCAATCAGCAGGAGTACGAGCGCACACGCACCATTAAGTATGTGTCAAGATGGTTGACGGTTGCTACCACGTTATCTAAGTCCTTTGTTCCTGTAGGTTCCAGCCGCCAGATGCCAACTACATTGAACTGCTACGCTTCCGTGTGCGTCCGCCTAAGAATCGGGAACTTCCGCTGCAGCTGAAGGCCACCTGGTGCGTTACCGGCAACAAGGTGGAACTGCGCGCCGACATACTTGTACCAGGCTTTACCTCGCGTAAGCTGGGCCAGATACCCTGCGAGGATGTCTCAGTGCGTTTCCCCATACCCGAGTGCTGGATTTATCTGTTCCGCGTCGAGAAGCACTTCAGGTGCGCCTCGTGATCTGCTTACAAGCGATTGTAGCTCAAATCTAACCTATGCTTTCACAGATACGGTTCCGTGAAGTCGGCACATCGACGCACTGGTAAGATCAAGGGCATTGAGCGCATATTGGGCGCCGTGGACACGCTCCAGGAGTCGCTCATCGAGGTGACCTCCGGACAGGCCAAGTACGAGCATCATCATCGCGCCATTGTCTGGCGCTGTCCGCGTCTGCCCAAGGAAGGTCAGGGTATGTAGTGGACCATCAATTAGCCCCAGTTCCTGCTCATGCTCAGCACTTGAACTCTTGACAGGCGCTTATACCACACATCAGCTGGTCTGCCGCATGGCACTCACATCGTATGACCAAATACCCAGCGAACTGGCGCCATACGCATTCGTGGAATTTACAATGCCCGCCACGCAGGTCTCGCATACCACCGTGCGCTCTGTGAGCGTGCAGGACTCCGATGCCGATGAGCCGCCGGAGAAGTACGTCCGCTACCTAGCACGGCATGAGTACAAGTAAGTACCAGACGAGCTGCTGACTAGAGATGGGTGTGGACCTTGCTTTTTATAAGCACGAGTAATACCTAAGCCAATTATTGGACAATAACTGAATATAGCAGCTAATCGCACACCAATATCAGGCGTTCATGCTTTTTATATGCAATACCAAAATATGATGTGGGCTGAAACGTACAGACTATTTTGTATTAGGTCATATTTCGTGCTCGTGCCTCCGTGTCCATCTCTACTGCAGATCAACAAGTTATTGTGATCTCATTTTTTATCTTTCTCTCTCTGTCTCTCTTTTTCTCATCATTTAGAGTTGGCATCGAGACCACGCACGGCGAGTCCACGAATGCGTATTTGGCGGCAACGCGACCCATACGCGAGGAGCCCGCCACTGTGGCCGCGAAGCCGGCTGCCTCGCCGGTGCCACCCAGTGACTCGGACTCGGACTCAAACTAAGCAATTGCTGAGTGCCAGTTGAACGATTTGGTGGTTCTGTAGATAATTTCCTTGGGCGCAAACAACGCCAAAGCACTCCACCCTCAGCATTCGGTATTTGGTTTTCTTTCGTGTTCTCATCGTATATTAATTTGATTTGGCATGCTCCCAGTGGACTCGATTTGTATCAGTTGAGTGCACTGCGAGCAGTTCAAATATATATTTGTAATAATGATTAGTTGACAATAAATACAGGAAAAGCAACACACACACACATGAAGATCGCTTGTGGAACGGATAAGGAAATATCAAGAATTAATAAGATGGATGGTCCAACGAAAGGTATCGAGCATATAGATGTAGCTGTGTTCGGGTCCTATTGAGTCTTCGGTTCTATATTGCAAGCCCATACTAACCATTATACTTACCTATATGTAATCATAACAAATAATTAACAATGTTAATCAAGCGACCAAAGCGAGCGAGACGATCGTATCGTGCTTAAAGTCAACCCATACATATGCATAGGAATAATGGTTAAACAAAAGCATCTAAAAACAAAACAAATACATATACATGCATATATACATGCTTATACGTATATATATGTATACATAAATCGAAAGTTCATAGTTATAACCTTTAAAAAGATGTTACATACATATGCATATATACTTTAAGCCAAGTGGCAAGACATAAGAAATGAAAAGCAATTTCGCAAAACATCGTTCAACTACGATTTAAGATTACGTTGAAGAAATTATTCCAAGCAACATCAGCTACCCGATCAGCAACTACTTTTACTAAAGAACTACTCTAACTTATGAGTTGTTCGCAACTGTACATCTACCAAAACTGGGTCAACAAATGGGTGTAAGCAAAGAGGCGACAGGCCAACGCACACACCTATAATAACAAAACACTAACACTCACACACAGACACACACACACACACACACACATACTATTAAACACTGAACAAAATAAGCATACATATTTAAAGCTACGTTTAAATTAATGTGTTTACGCCTAAAAGCACAGTTGAACCTAATGGAACATTTGAGTGCAGCAAGGACATGCCGATGTTGGAAAGTGCTTTGCAAATTGGAAGTTTCCAACACTAATAGGATGGCAACTCTAAGCAGCGCATGATCATCGTTCAACTAAGCTCATCAAATTGAAAACTAAGCAAACTGCAACTGCAACTGTAACTGTAAAACTATCCATAGTATATTTAAATGTCAAAGCAAAAATAAACTAAGCTTTATAAAACCAATTGATTTAAATTTATAAATGAATTCAATTTAACTTCAAGCAAAACGGAAATGCATATTCAAATGTTATTGTTGTGAATCAAACTAAATTATATATTCAAATAGATAAATAACTTAAAAACAAAAAAAACAAAAAAAAAAAAAAACAAAAGCAAAATGATGAAAAGATTAAAGCAACGTAAACTAAATGCATATAGAGAAAGCATATTTGTTAAATGGAAGCAAACGTTTATAAACCAAACTACATACATATATGAACAAAAAAAAAAAAAAATACCAAAAACAAAAGAGAAGAAAATATAGATAAATATATATAAATACATACAAAGGATATATATAAACATACAGTGCATATTGATTAATTGAGTTTAATAGCTGAAATTGCAAAATAGATTTGTTAATTTAGTGTTAAATATACATACCTAACTTTCCAGACGCCCATCTTTGTTTAACTCGAAATCCTGCCTCCCTCCGCCAACACAAAAATGTATTCACATATTTTGTTGCTTCCTTATTTTTTTTTGTTTAACACATACAAATAAAATATATACACACACACACAAACACACACTTAATGTGGAAAGAAAAAGAAGAACAAGTAGCGAAAAGAATAAAAATTAAATCATGCTATATAAATATACACATATATATATTATAATATAAATTAATGCCCCCTATATGTATATTGTGAGTCCCTAGGAATTATGAGCTAAAATATCTCATTTATTGTATTGTATGTTATTTAATTTACCTACGTTTAAACATTATATATATATATATACACATAATATATATACTTATATGTATCATAAAAAGTGCAAGAAAAATCAACAACAACAAAAATGAAATGCAAAGAAAATCGAGATAAACCTTCCCCCTAAACCCGGAATGACAACTTTCACATGTTATATATTATATATACATATACATAAATGGTATTATCCGATGAACTAAATTCAATATACTGATTATTATGAGCGGAAATCGACGCAAAATGCAGTATGATGGAAAATTAACTAGTCAAATGAGAAAATAAATATTGAGAAACCTACAAATTTAGCCATAAACTTGTTTTTAATTCAAGCCAAACCCCAAATGCTTGTAAGTATTAAATCATTTGTAATAATTTGATAGAGATATTTTTTTTTGTAATTTAATTTTTTTTTTTTTTTTGTTAGCGTCCTTTGCTGCACTCTTCGGCTGTAGTTGGAAGCCATTTATCATGGAGTTGGCTCTAAAGCCCAGCTAAATCTGGCCAGCATCTACGACTGTTGCAATCAGTGCACATGTGCACAGATTTACCACTCGAAATCCTCGTAAAATATTATGCTCAACTTTCGTCTAAACATCTCAAGTGCTGACCTCACAGCCAATGGCTCCCTTCACGGCACAACTTTGTCTTGGACCATGGAGAGTTTGTGACGTGCCTTTGTGGCCTGTTTGTGGGGCTCTCTGTGTTGAATGCTAATCATTTCTGTTCGAGCATTGTTTACTTGCCGGAGGCAACTGAACGCAAACTTAGCCAATTAAATGCACTAAATCTGCCAGTTGAGCCACGCTGCGTATGAGCAATATTTTGCTATAACATTTAGTATTGCCAGCAAATCTTAAATGGGTGGGTGTAAACAGAAATATTTTGCAGGAAGAGGATCCTATAAAGTTTATGTTTACACGATTAAGACTCTTGCAGGGACTTCACTTAACTAAAGTAAACACTGGTTTATGTTTTTTTACTCAGTAAAAACGCAGCAATCGAGTTTGACTGTATCCGTTCGCCTAGGTCAGTCAAATAAACTCGAAGCCTGCAAGATATATTTTAATCTTACGATATTAATATTAGATAATATAAGACGTAAAGATATTTTAGGCGCTCTTAATAACTTAAATTTACATATAGTTTTTTTTGTACTGGCATCATGGATTTTATTAATTTATCTTAATAATAATTATATTATAATATAGAAAGAGCAGGCCAGATCAAGTCCTTTGTAAGACAGTTAGAATAACATAAATTATCTGCTTAATTCTCATTTCAGACCTACCCCAGCTTTAACTAAATCGCATAAAGTTCTGACAAACGTATTGAGACCCGGCTGTCCAGGCTGCCCAGGCTGTCCTGTCAAGTTGAACATCGGAAGCACGTGATGAAAACTCACTGTCAGACAGACGTCAAAGATGCTGCTGCAATTTGTGGAAGTAGGAGGTGTGGGTAAGCAATTTTATGAATTCACCAGCGTCCGGCATAACTGAGTTAGCCAATGACTAAGGCTCAAAGCCAAATCCAAAGCTGTTCATGCAGATACCACAGACCAGCACAAAGTATGCTTCACTTGCTTATTGCTGTCATAGTGGGCCCTGGGCTCAATTCAATCTGTCTACAAAAACGTGCGCCGGCTTTTGCTGAGCTGACAAACAAACAAGTCTCGAATGAATCAATAAATGAGTTGAATAAGTGACACAAGCTGCCGCCAACGAAATGAAGATGTTTACAAATATTAGATTTTGACATCTGGCCACAGCAAAACGATTCCATATTCAATATTCAATAATAATCTGCCAAAGATTGACTGGCATTTCAATTCCATACATATCAATTGAATCGCTTCAATAATGATGATAATGAGAATTCATAGGAAGAAAGTTAAAGTATTTTTCCCACCTACAGCAATAGGAATCATGTAGTGAATATTTTATTCCAATGATATAACTACGTATTATAAGTATTTACTAGCCAGCTATACTTTGGCAACCAGTATAATACTTGTGCTCTTGTACTTGTCTTGTAATTGTATCTAATCCTATCCTTTCCCTGATGCAAATAAAAGACTGACAAATTGTTTTGCAACAGATGCACATAAGCCATGCCCCAATACCATATGCTACTATCACAGTGTGGTCATAAATTAGCTAGCACATCTTGTAATTGATTTCAATCTTGAAAGCATTTAACAGATTCAACCTGCTAGAGCAGCCAAATAGGTCTTCAAATTGTTGTTTAACCCTTATTATTAACATTTTTGATATAAAAATCATAGTGAATTTCTGTTTTTTTTTTCCTTTAGTGTCTGGATAAAAATTGTTTTTTTTTTAATGTCTTGAAACGCTGCCAATTGCATTTGTTTCTGCTAACGGAAGCACCTGCCATAAACTGGCTGAAAAAAAAATAGAAAATAGAAGCCGGATTTGTGTTGCTCAGTTGGCAACTGACTAAAACTAATTACTGGCGAGCCACAAAAATAAATTCCATTGCGCATTAAATTCGAATCAATCATGCGGCTTCCTGTGCCCAGGACATTGTCGGCATTTGCAAATCCGACGCATGGCGGAAAGGTACAAAAAAGACTAAAGCGATTTGGCAACAAAGTCGTCCCTTGGTTTGCCTCCGGTTAACACAGTTTATGTGCAACATTGTGTGTAGCACTCATGATGCGATTTGCCGATTTTTACGGCCGCCATAACAACGTAAAGTGGTTTCGGCCTCCTACCTCCATCAGCTCTTCCCTTCGCTGCCGTCTCGCATCAGCGCATCACCTGCCAGACCATAAAATCCATACGAGCTGGGCTGAACGCATAAAGTGGCCAAATAGCCTAAGGAGACCCCAACCGACTGCGATTTCGACTTGGCCAGATGCGCGCATAATTATGCAATACGGAAAGGACGACGCATTTTGCAAAATGGCTGCCCAGCAAGAGGGGCAACAACAAGCTGAACAACATAGTCCCGCATACCACACACACACACACACACACACACACGATAAAGAATGCTGCGCTTGACGCCTTCGAGGGGTCATGGCAAATGCAAATGGTGCGTGTTCCTGCACCATTCGGTTGTATCCTTTACAGTTGCTGTTGCTGCCAGCACATGTTCTTAGCCTACACACACACACACACGCACGCACACACACACATGTGCAAAGCTGCATAATTTGTAGCATATTCTTTCGTGAACGGCTAAAAGGGTCTTCGTTGTCGTCTGGGCGGCATCTTCTGTGCAATATCAAACGAATTAGCATAAAAAACTGCAAATTTGAATTATAGCCAGCAGTAACAGCTGTTCCAGCTGGCTCCTATCGGAGGCACCCCCCTACTTCACCACACACCTCACTGTAAATGCGGTAAATTGGCGCATACTCTCTGTTTCGCCCAGTCAAAGAGCATATCCTGAAAAAACGAAACAATCCTAACAAGCGAGGAAACTATAACATCCGATAAGGTACGTACAAAATACACTTACTATATTCTCATAAAATCCTCCATATTTATTTGGTGAATTTTTTGCTTCTTATTTTTCTTTGCGTTGACTGAAATTTTATATGAAATAATTATTAATTTTTTCAAAAGAAGGTTATAGATAAAAGTAATCTTTTGATGCAACAATTTCATGTTGCTTTTGAACACCTGAGGCTGTGATATATAGCTATAAATATGTGGCTACTAGAGAGAGGAAACTCGGAATAATATATCACCATAATAGTTAGCCGAGGTCAGAAATCTGAGTTGCAGAAATACTTGCATGCCACCAAGTTCCAGTGTGAGTCAATAAGAATTTTTTTGTGCAAACAGCATGACCATGTTATGCATACCCAATAAAATATGAGGGGTGGACCCCACTTTGCCAATTTGCATGTGCAAATGTAGCTGCAACAGCACATACATACTCGTATATATTGAACTATGACCAGTGGCAGCTAAGTAAGCATAACTTATGATATGTAGATGAATTCCAGCATATTGTATGTATGTGATGCGGCCCGTCGGTTCGTCTGGCCGTGCGTCTAATGCGCCTAATAGAGCCGGTGTTTGCCCCAAGTTTGGCAGCCAAAAGGATGCCTCGGCTGTGCCTTGGTTGGGCCACTTGTCAGGCGGCGTTTCATTGCTCATTGCTCGTTGCGCTCTCTTCAAATACGTAATCAGTGAAATTTTCATGCACATTTTTCTTTCGTTTTTCTGGGTAAACAAACGGCGCTTTGAGCTGACGCTCAACTTGAAATACGTTTCCCAATTTCCATAAACACGTGTGCAAATAACACGTGTGCTCAGGCTCCGGCATCTGTTGGTCTGGCCGGGGAATGTTCGGGGCGTTATATAGGGGCTGGTTGAGTATACCCTTAACATTAGCTAACTATTGCCGGCATTTGATTGAAGGCGCACTACGTAGGGTCTACGTTATTCTTATTTGAGTTTCGGCGCTGTCAAATGCGCCTCAAATTGATTTTTATTTTTATTTCAAAGAAAAACTTTTTTGCAGCTGTTCAGCTTTTGTTTTTGTTTTTGTTTTAAGTCTTTATTTTTTGTTTTATTTTTTGCCTTCATGTGTGCAGCTGTGACAAACTTGTGCCCTACACCCTACTGTCTACCCTCTATGGGGCCCACACCCTTTGTATACCTCGCGTATTGTACACGTATTTTCTCTTCATGGAATTTCCATTAAGCCATTAAATACAAATCGACCTGCAAACTACCATCTGTTTTCCCCGAACAGCCGACAGGCTGTCGTTGCAGTTTTTGGACCTGCTTATAAAAGATATACGAGCCCCACTCGGCTTAATTTGAACTTCTGTTGTGGTAATCCGTAAACTTGTATTGATATACAAGACAGCGCGAATCGATTAACTATTTAACACATAAAATATTCAATTTATGTTTCTATACCCTACCGGGGTAAATACATGGAGTACATGTGTTCTGTTTTAATTCAGATCAATATGCAATGACATTGGGTGAAAGTGGAATTCGTATACGAAAACAGTGTTGCCTAGCAGTACTTTTTCAAAAGCGGTGCTGGCTAACGGTAGGCTTTAATTATGTACTTTTTAACAAAACAAAGAACATATAAAATAAATAAAGTGGCATTTATATTAAAATCAGTGTTGGTAAGCAGTAACTCCCGCCTAGTTCAGCCTAATGCCTGCCAACACTGCTTTCTATTATCATTGTAAAAATCTTCTAGTTGAAGATGAAGAAATGCGATTTTCCAATAAACTGACAGCTGCCGCTCTCATTGCTTGCGGTCTAGACTCTACGCTTGAAGTGATCTGCAAGCTAGGCAGTCACAGCGAAAGCTTATGCAATTGTTACAGCTGCTGGTAATCCGAGAGCTGTACAGAATTGGAAATCGATGCACTTGCCACAGGGGCGCCACCGTGGGGATAGCAGTGAGTGCTTTAAGACATTACTACGCCAGTGGCTAACCGCGATCAGTGGACGTTGAGGGTTTCGTTTGGGCTGGCGAGCAAGTGAAGCCCCATTCAAATGGCAACCGTTGGCATGGAACGTTGGCAGAATTGCATTGCTGTGGTGACTGGCGCTAGTTCGGGCATAGGAGCTGTGCTCAGCAAGCAGCTTGTTGCTGCGGGCGTCATTGTGGTCTCCTTGGCTCGGCGTCTGGACCGCCTGGAGCAGCTGCGTCAACAATTGCCAGAGGTACAGCGCGCCCAGCTACATGTCAGGCAATGCGACGTGACGAGCGTAGAGTCGGTAAACGCCGCCTTTGATTGGATCGAAGCTGAGCTGGGTGGTGCCGATATTCTGATTAACAATGCAGGCAAGCTATCCGGTGGTCAATTGGTTACCATGCGGTTGGACACAGCGCAAGAAATACTGCAAACGAACGTGATGGGCGTTGTTTACTGTACACAACGCATTTTTGAATCAGTACGAAAACGCAATACACCCGGCCATGTGGTGCTCATCAACAGCATTGTGGGTCACTATCTGTTCAATCCGCTGCCCGGCAGCGTTCAGGAGCTGAACATGTATCCGGCCACGAAGCATGCATTGACCGCCATGACAGAACTCTTCCGTCAGGAGTTTCGCGACCTTAAAAGCCACATAAAGGTCACGGTAAGTAGCCATCCGACTTTGCTGCAGCTGACCTAAATGTGCGTCGTCACAGAGCATTAGCCCGGGCCTGGTGGATACGGATCTGGTGCCGCAGGCCTACAAACGACTTCCCATGCTGCAGCCCGAGGATGTGGCCAATGCCATCATGTATGCCCTGGCAACGCCTCCACATGTTCAGGTGCACGAGCTAACCATAAAGCCAATGGGCGAACCGTTTTAGCAGCATGACACATGGAGAATACCAGGTTAATTGAAGCCTTAAATGATGGTTTGGTTTTTTTTGTATTATAGAATTTCTATGATATACATCATAAAATCTTAAAATTGGGAAACTAAGTATATTAAGATATTCGTACAGATTTTTGAATGCAGCTTCGTAACATAATATTAAATGTTAAAAACGAGTCTGTTTAATTTAACATAGTAGCTTGACCAGATTCTTTTCCACTTTTCCACTTTTGTATAGCTCCGTACTTTTTCATGAGAATGCGTGTTCCGCTTGCCTGCTTCAGTTGTTTTGCATTGATCAATTTCAACAGTTTTTTATTCCTCCCAATAATTGCTGAGTAGTTACATTTTTGGCCATGTCCCTTTTAAAAATCGATCTTAATTTATGGGCTCGATCTATGCAGATGCAAAAACATAAAACCTGCTCTGTTGCCCGGCAGAATATTAATTTTACTAAATAGGTAGAATCGGCTGACAAATATGCAATTTGATGGATTTATTTATAAATGGTTGACAAAACGACTGTCATTAAAAAAATAAAAATTTTAAGCTAAATGCTAAATGCCTAAACAGAATACAAAATGAGGGTTTTTATATGCTCCAGCAACCAACTATGCCTCTAATCACAGTTTATTTTGCCAGTGATGTAAGTAAGTGGTAACTTTTGCTAAAGGGGTAGCTTTTAGTGGAGAACGAACTTGCAGAAAGAGGGTGATGGGAGGATATATAAACCTGTACCGAAAGCTATGCCTTCTTATAGATGCATGTGCTCAGTGAGTTTCCGAAGTGAGTCTGAAAGATTTTATTAGGGTTAGAGAGAGTTCAGTGAAGAGACAAGCTATTGCAAGTTTGGCATAAGATCTTATGGTAGATATAAGAGGTGATTGCAATGTCTGCTTCACAAAGGTCGTATATCAGATCCAGCTTTAAGTGACACAAACTTATAACCACTACTGCTACTGATCGACTTCAATAAAATAAATGTGTGAATTCAAAAAAATGATATACCTATTTGCCAGTTTTAAAAAGTAACGTCAGTTAGGCTGTGCATCAAATGGTTAAACAGCGAAATAGTGGCACGTGCTTCCATTGTTGAGCTACAGTATTTGTGTGGGGCCGATTTGTGGGGCTAATTTAAACAAATAATGTTGCCATCGACTGCGAGCGACTAGCTAATACTCGTTCAACGTCGAATAAAAGCAAACACTAAATATATGTTATAAACAGGTATTCGATTTTTTGTGAGTGCGTTAATTGTTAACCTTAAGAGGAGTTCATGCGTAATCTTCAGTCGAAATTTAGTCACTCTCGCTGGAAAACTTTAATGTGTATATAATGACCACAGTCAAATAATTCGAGAGCTTTATCTGCTTGGCATACATCAGTATAAATTTCAAAAAGACAGAAGGAAACACAAAACCAATATACTCGCTACACTCTGTGAACGGGTATTAAAATTCCACACATTATAATTGTCAAACTGGCGAATAAAGCGACGCGTCGCTTAATTATTCAACTGTGAAAACTATTCAAAAATTCAATTGCGAATTTAAGCGTGTGTCCCAAGCACTTGTAGAGCGCGATGCGCGGGGCTGGTCGTTGGGCAAGCCCAATATAATGAAGGCCTCAGCGCGAACCAGACTGAGTTGCGAAATAGCTGCGTTCAGCGGCGCACAAAAGTCAATTAAAGAAGCCAATTGTTGCGGAATCCCAAAGGTGAACCATGGAGCGCTGGCAGGGTCGTGTGGCTGTTGTGACTGGCGCCAGTTCGGGCATTGGAGCTGCTGTGGCAAAGGATCTGGTGCGTGCCGGGCTGGTTGTGGTGGGTCTGGCGCGTCGCGTCGAGCGCATTGAGGCGCTCAAGGAGGAGCTGCCGGAGGAGTTGCAGTCCCAGCTGCATGCGATCAAGTGCGATGTGGCCGATGAGGCGTCGGTGGCGGCTGCCTTTGATTGGATCGAGGCACATTTGGACGGCATTGATATACTGGTGAATAATGCAGGAATGCTGTACTCCGGTCAAGTGCTGACCATGCAGCTGGATCAGCTGCAGCGCGTGCTGCAGGTCAATCTGATGGGCGTGGTTCACTGTACCCAACGCGCCTTTCGCTCCATGCAGCAGCGCGATGTTGCCGGTCATATGGTGCTTATCAACAGCCTCACCGGGCACCACATCATCCATCCGCCCAGCGAGGAGCTGCAGTGCCTCAATATGTACCCAGTAACAAAGCATGGCATCAGTGCGCTGCTCGAGATAATCCGTCAGGAGCTGAACGGCCTCAAGACGCAGATTAAAGTAACGGTGAGCAATGATTCGCATTTCCTGTGCTACATGCTTATCTGAGCTTACAGAGCATCAGTCCGGGCGTAACCAATACGGAGATCCTGCCCGGCGACTATAACAATCTGCCCATGTTGCAGCCGGAGGACATATCGGCAGGCATTATGTACGCCCTGGGCACACCGCCCCATGTGCAGGTGCATCAGTTGACCATTAAGCCCATTGGTGAACCCTTCTAAGACAGCTGCTAAATTAAAATGCATTACTGCAGTAGCGGCTGGGTGGGCGTGGCATCTAGCCGCACACAGCTGCTTGTCTCCGAAAATTGTGTTCTTTATTTAAAAATAAGTTTGACAACAAGATGGGCGGGCTGTGGATTCTGGGTGTGGGTGTGGGTGTGTGTGTCTGTGTGTGTGTGTGTGTGTGCGGCACATCCGGCATGCTGCAAGGTATGCCAAAATACGAAAATAAGTTAACATTAGCTTGACATGCCGACGCAGCCGCCATAGCAGCCACCCCCTGCCCGGACCTGGATCCGGAACAGGTGGCGTCCCCATCCGTTTCCGTGTCTCGTGCTGGCGTCTGTCAATATTGAAAGCGTGCGCATTTGACATAAAATGTAATATAGTCACAGCCACACACACACAAGCACCCGGCACGCAGTCAAGCAGCGAGACTGACAAAGATTCTGCACCAGCTCCAGTAGTTTTATGCAAAATAGCTCCTGTCTGAGATGCTCTACTCCCTATATACCATATTCACATACATTGTACTGTCAGAGTTTGTCAACGAACCGCTAGAAATATGCTGAAATATCATGTACTAAGATCCTCGGCTGATTGACAAGGTTCGAAAATCCCGATGAATTATTTGAAATTGAAAAACATATGAAAAATCGTAAGTGGAATCATTTCAGGCCATTTCCATATTTTCAGATTTCAATCTATTTGTAATATTTGAGGTTTTCTTTTATTTAATATTATATTTATAAATATAAATTATCGCATTTTCAAATCAAGTTCTCAGATGAAGCACCGCATAAACAATTCTCGTAATCAGTCAAATTATTAAATTTAATAATATGTTGTTGCTGTCTAATCCATGTGCTCGATCGATCGATCTGAATCCGGAGTTTCGCTGGCACTTGCAGTGTATTTTGAATTTTGCATTACATTTTAGATATTCAGCTAGCACACGTGGCCGCTGAAGTTAGCTGAGTGTCAGACGCCCAAAACGGCGACAATCTAAGTCCGAAAACTTTTATGACTTGCCTGTGAACAGCAGCAGGAATATTGGTAATGGGAATGCTGATGGTAACGAGCTGCTGCTGCTGCTGCTGCTGCAGCTTGGCATCACTCGCGTCACGCCATGCTGTCAATGTTGCATATAAACACGGCGTTGTCAATGTTGCTGCTGCGCGTGTTGTGTATTGCTGGTTGCTGCCAGCAATGGCAATGGCAAACTCTGTGGCAGGGGCAACGGCAGCCGCTTGCCTTTCCTGGCGCGCGTAACTCGTTTACTTGTCTGTTTCAGTGGCAGCTTTTTCAGTTGTCTGCCTTGTGCCTTCTGCCTTTTGCCCGCTGAAATAGCTAATAATGTCGCACATCCATTTTGGTGCCCCAGAGAGATACACGTTGGACCAGGCGCAGGCCGCGGCTGTTGTTGACTGTCGAGTCTTGCTTGACAGGTCTCGATATTTTCTCTATTCCTCTTTAACTGGAGGCTCAGCAGCGACCATCCTTTAAAGTTTCTGCGATGCCACACCCCCTGCTGTTAGCTGGGCGCCAAGTGAAGCGTTCATGCAGCAATCGTTTTGACCTTCAGCTGGAAGCGGTTAACGTTTCAATAAACACCTTTTGGCTTCAAGTGCAAGTCGAGCACGAAACAGCTCGGACAGCTGCTGCGCCTCTGGTCGGCATTTCCGTTCATATTCCATTTCCGTTTCCTCATCAGCACACTTCGGCGCATTTAACTTTGCGCTCTTGGGGCCTGCTTCGGCTAAAGCAGCTCCTTTTAGCGAAACTAGCTAAATTTATTTAATACTAAACCGTCGAACTTTTGCTCTAGAGGCGCTAAGTTTGCAACACATTTGCCTGAATTCATGCGAATCGCATAGTGGGGCGTCATTTAAAAATACGTTTTAGTTTTTATTAGCTGCGCATTATTGAAATATAATTGAAGAGCACAGTAAACTTTGTCTGTGTTTGCGATGCAAGATTATATATAGCGGATGTTTCCTGGCATAACCTTACTCTATATGTAAATTATGAATATCACTTTGCTATTAAATTCAGTTAGCCTTAGGTGTTTGAAAATGAGATCGAAGTCTTTCAGATGAAACACAACAGCTTTACGCTAATTTGTCGCCGGTGCGGTGGTATTTTCAAAAACGGCAAAACACGTATACAAATTTAAAACGTGCGCCCACACTCCACAGTATCAGATCATAGGCTGAGGGGGTGGGTGGAGGTTTATTTGTTGCATAGTTTTCGGCGCGTCATCTGAAAATTGAAATTAGGCGGGCTGTCGGCCTTTGCTCCGATTACGCTAATCAGCATGTGTTGGCGGAGGGACCGTTAATTTGGCTGCTTTCGCCAGCTCTTTAACTTTTATTTTTCGTCTGCTAGGGCGACTAGAAACCGCACGGATTGCGGGGAGCGAACACTGATTGATTTGCGGCGACAATTTGTCGGTTGCGCTGCCTAATTAGCATAACGCCGACAGCTTTTAATAAGTTGCCAGTGGCAGCAGCGGAGGCAGGTGCTACAAATGCGTAGCTGAAGCAACATGGATGCAATCGTTGGGCCAATGCGAGGCAGCAACTCGTGTAGTTGCTTTTAATTAAAACTTCAATCGGAGGCGCCGCAACGCAACGTTGCGTGACGCGCTCACCTGCGACTCAATGCTCAATCCTGAATCCTCAATCATGCGGCGCACATCTCTCCTGAAAATCTAATTAAACAGCCTCCAAGGTTTCAAACCTGGCGCCCACAAAGCGACAGGCTGCAAACGTAAAAATCTTTATTATATATATCTATATTCTTATTTGACATGGCTTAAGCTTACCCGAAAGCAAAATTGTGCCTAGAAGAGAAATGGAAGATGTGCTGTGTTCATATTAAAAAGAAAAAAATGCTGGACATTTTCTTTGCTTCAGTTTGGATATTCAATTATTATTTTATGACATGAACGGTACCGAACATAAGCCCAACTGACAAACATCCGAATCATATTTTAAAAAAATATTTTTGTTTATGAAAGACTGGGTTGACCATATAAATAATAAATAAATTTCTACAATGAGAATTCCAGTTAATTGTTGAACACTTTCAATACAAATTTTCCTAAATTTGAAATACAGAACTTCTTTTTCGATTCACTAACCAACTAAAGAAATCGGTTTTAGAACATTTTCAGTATAGAACTTTTTGTTGGAGATATTTCTTGCATACAGTCATATATTAATCTGAAAGCATCCAAGTCAGCTGTGCCGCGCAATATTATCTATTAGAGATGCGAGTTTCTCGGGCCGTCATATTAGTCACGTCTCTCTGTAGTCTATGCATGCACTTATCTGCATGTCTAAGCTGGAGCTGGCGGTAGAGCTGCACTTGGCTTGCAACAGACATGGTGCTACATTGGGTCGACATTTGCTGGGTTCTATGGACCCTCGACCCTGCTGAATGTGTCAGCCGCTTAACTTACATAATATCCGCAGTGCTTTCTCTCGTTTTTCCGTTTCCTGCTGCGCTGCAATGCGTCGCAACGCGACGCGATGCGATGCGATGCGATGCGACGCTGCGTTTTCTTTAGCGCCGCCCTCATGCCAACTAATTATAAAGTTGGGAACGGAAACATTTACAAAACATTTAGCGAAAAATGCACATTTACGAAAAACGTGTGCGGACTCTGTAATGGGCGGCGTCACATAGGAGCGGGTCGAGCAGGAAAGGAGCGTAGGAGTCGCCGAGTTTCGCCTAACGAAATCAAAGGGCCACGACCACGCCTCTACACCTCCAACTCAACGACACGGACACGGACACGTTAAATGGCCAGCCGGGCATGCAAATGCCGTCGACGATGACGTCGACCGCAAACGAGCAGCGACGGGATGTCAGCTCCCCTGGGCCCCACTGCCCCTTGTTGCTTCACGTCTCTCTCCACATATGTGTGTGTGTCTTGATGTGCGTATGCGACAACGTTTGGAAGACGAAAGCGGCCACAACTTCATTTTGGGGCCAAACCGGCAGATAATAAATGTCAAGCCTGGAGAGACGTGGCCATTGTGGCTTATGTGCTTGAAACTTTTTAAACTTCATGCATTGCTGCATACATAATCTCCGCATATGCTCCATCTTGCTTGCGCCACGACTCTCGAGTGCTGCCGCTCTTTCTCTCTCGCTTTCGCTGTATCATATATCTGCCTGTAGAGCTGGCCGAGCACGTACGTAGGTGCAGGAAATGCGGCATTTTGTTGAATTGAGCGGAAAAGTGCGGCTCTTCATTTAACGCCGCGACTGAGCACAAGCACACGATCGTGGAGAAGACGATTCGGGTTCCTCCGGCTACCGATTTTAATAGTTGTCATGCTTGAGCCCAAGGACAAAGAACTCTGAGCTGTAAATGCTGTTTTTTATTTTTTAATTTTTTATTTTAGACATTTTTGATATAGCTCACTCAAATCCCTACCAATTCCAGAAAGATTACTTCGTTGGGGGAAAACCGGCGGAACAAAAAGAAAACAAGTCAACCTGAAAAAGTGGGTACTACCTTCATAGTAGAACATCTTTTTGATGCAAACTAAAAGATTTGACTTGATTTGAAAAGAGGTGCAAATTGCCTCCGTCCCAACTGTCACTGTGTAGCTCACGAAGGCTGAGTTTATTCTAAAAAAAAAAACAGTTCCAAATTACATTTCATCAACAAACAACACTTCAACAAATTGATTAGTCTTAGTGCCTTTTTCAAGGAATTAATTTTGCTTATATTCCTAGTAATTAATTTTATAATTTGTAAGTACAAGTTGGGTCTTATTAATGCTGCCTATATGTGTGATAACGTAACTTCCTTAGACTTTATACCATGGATGAGAATAACGCAGAAGCAAGTCGTAGCAAAGCATGCGAAGCATTACAGGTCCCCAAAACAGAACTAGCGTCGACTGCAGTAGAAGCGGTAAATACCGTAAACGAAACGCCAAGCTGGAAATTAAAAACATTAAATTCAATAATTTCCTAAAGGCCAGTTCCTTATTCACCGCTACTAGAAAAGCTGGAGGAAGACTTAGGAGTTCGGGATCAAAGTTGAAGTCGCCTTCAAAGCCCAAAAACTCAATTAACCGAAGGAAGTCCAATTCTAGATCAATGTCCAGTACGCGCAAGACCAAGAGCACGCCGACAGCCAGGTCGCGCAATAGGAAGACCACCTCAACGGGTCTCAAGAAACCCAATGTGAACTGCGTGAGCCGTAAGCGTAATTCTCGAATTAGCATCAAACACAATAAAGGTTGCAGACCCAATCTAACTATGAACAAAGCATATTTGCAATTTATACGCGAATACTGCGGAAGACCACAAGAGCTATCCGGACCGGATTTAGCACAAAAAGCCGCGCGCGCCTGGTGTCGCCTATCCAATGTGAAGAAACAGAAATTTTTGGTAAGTGCAGCCGTAGTTTGTATACCTAGATATATATTTATGTATTCTTATCTTTACTACACAGGCAAGGCGCACAAAGAAAACTTGTAAAAAAGCCCGATTTTGTGCAATTCAATAGAGCTGAGCTGAGCTGTGCTGAGATGTGCTGTAAAGATCGCAAAAAAAAGTCTATCATAAACTGTTCCGGATTAAAAAAGCCACAACCAATTAAACTTTATAGCTACATAAAAGCTACTTGAGTTTATTGTACACCGTGCCCCTTGACAATTTGGCAGTGTATGCGGCAGCTGGCAGGTGACTGGCAGGTACTGAAGATTTCGGAGGTTATATGAGCTAGATATCTAAAAAAAAAAAAGGGAAGCCCAGACAAAACTTATTTCAAATATATTGAGGGTTTTGGCGACCTCTCCATATTTAAAATATTTGTTGGCTAGCTCGAGGTCCGAGTTTGTAAATACAAACAGTGAAACAAATTTATTTTATTTCGGTTGCACTTCGTTAACAGCAGCTTTATCCGTTTGGCTGAAATCGAAAGGCTTTGATTTTCGAACTGAACTTTCTACTTTGGACCTGAAAGTTTCATCAAGATCAGGCTTTTAAGCCCGATGTTATTTAAGAATGTCTTTTCCAAAATTGAAACTGAAACAAGAAGCACAGCTTGTGTGAATTTTTGTGTGCAAGAAGGAAAGCTCATGCTCATTACGGCAGCTCAGACCTAAATACAGGCTATTTGCCAGTTGTGCATTTCCCAATACGGCACGCTTGCTTATTGATATAATTTGAGTATAATTAAATTAATTATGTATTTTGTTGAAAGCACAAACTGATGCAGACATATTCAAGCATTGGAAAGAGCTTAAATGTCCTAGATCAACAACAATTTTTGTTGTCCAAAGGAATTTAAAATATTGATACACACAACTGATTTGGAATATATTGCTATTTTCGATAGTCAACTGAAACCGAACGTATTGTTTAATAAGCGTCTGTCAAATATGACTGCAACAAATTAAACAATGAAGAGCTTACACAATAGAAACTGAACTAAGAGAACCAATTTAAAAACGAATGTAGCAATTTTGCCAGTCCATCTAATTCAGTCAAGCATCGGGTTTATTGACGTTTTAAAATACAATTTCAATAATTTTATAATTTGTCTATTCAATAATAAAGCTTTGCAAATAACCGGACTTCGGACCATGCCTTGAACACGAACACAAAGCGCATCCGTGCATAGACGCTCAACGCAATATTTCCGCTGCTTAATGAACCTTTGTAAAATTTAAACAACTCCATTTACGCACACAGAGACACACACAAATCGAAGCAAAGCATTTGACAACGAAAAGCTGTATCTATGCTAAGGATTGGATTCACTCTCAATGTGGGAGCATGCCGTTACGAGTCAATGTGTGGACAGTGTGGGTGTTTCGGGCGGCAGCAAAGCTTGCAATGCTTAACAAAGGATGCGTATACGGGATGCCTACAAGAGCAACACAATAACAATAACAACTATAGCTGCAACCAATGGACGAATGCTTACAATATTACCAAATTATGGCTACCAACATTTTTGGACTAATTCAATCTGTCAGGTAAAATTTGGGTTCTGCCCAAATCCAAATCGCTAAATTGACCATTGCCTAAAACAGATAGTTGTAGCAATATGTTGATATGGCGCCAATAACATTACCCATTTTCAATTCCCCTTTCCCCCTATTCCTCTGACTTTCATTTCAATTCTCTTTGAAAAATTCTGCTTAATCGAGCAGGACTTGCACTCAGAACTAAATGCAAACAGGCATTTATATGCGCATACCAAACATCCTTCTGAATTGAAGCTAAACGTTCCAAAGGAAAGTTGAAAATATTTTTGTAGAAATTCTGTTTAGCTGTGTTATATTATGACAAGTCTGGTCGAGGCCCATTTAATATTTATAATAGCCCGTTCTACTGAAAATATTGCAAGTTGTAAATATTTTCTGATTGCTAGATTTTAACTCGAACCAATATTGGCATCTATCAAATATGGTTCGATAATGATTGGGAATTAAGGCTTACATCTTCTGGGCTTGAAAATTACTTTTATTTTACAACACAGAATATTTGCAAAAAATGTAGTTTGGTTCCGGTTTTGGTTCAGCTGAATTTTCGGTTCATATTAATTATATTAGTTTTCGATATTTAAGCTTCGATTCATTTTAGAAACTAAATCTAGAATGGCAGTTCAGCCGTGCATTGCATGTCTAGTAACCAGTTTATTCAATTGAACCGCACCGAACCGCGTCTAACTGAATCGCAGTGTGGCGAATCGATGACAGCTCAGCGACCATAGATGCCCCAATGAATGTGTCTGAACATGTTATGCAATAAATACGCCAGTTTTATAATAATCCAATGACATTTGTGGGCGACCATTCGCATTTCGTTAGCCCGTTCGAACTCTTCTCCAACTTAAATGGCACGGAAAGTGCCAACAACCTCTGGCCGCTACCCACACCCTAATGGGAAGTTCTTACACCGGATAGCTGCCAAATGGTACATTGATGGTAAATGCTGGTCGATGGTCTGTTGAATGCTTCAGTGGTTGCTGCTCTGGTGCTCTGCTGGCGACATCAAAGGCGAGACCATCGCAGAGACTAATAAAAATGGCAACGAAATTATGCAATTAGTGGCGTAATATGAAGCACTTTACTGGCATTGTGGGCGTTCTCGTTAATAACAGTTGTGCCCAGTGCTGTTCTTGTAGTTGTTGTTTGTGTTACTGTAGCCAGTAGATATGCTTGTGGCTGGAGCTTGAGGGTGCAAATGGCTAACGCAAAAGTTGTTCGCCATCCATGACAACGCTGCCGATGAGAATCACAACGAGATTGAGGATGACAATGGAGTAAATGGCCATGGAGCGTGAAGCTATGTGTTAGCGATAGTTTTGTGGCTGAATGGATATTAACCATTTGACAGGTGTGTGAGAACATGTCTCGTGCTTAATTCACTTAAAGCGATTTCACCCAGTGTCCTGCTATGTCAATTAATTTGCATATTACGCATACGCCCAGTGTGATAATTATATAAACATGGGCTTTCGCGCACTCACATTGCTAAATAAATATTCGAAACAATCTGACTGCCAGACAAGTGTCGTTTATTCTTGGCTTCCAAAGCCTAACGAGCGTACATATTTCATCCAGTTTTTATTTTTTCTTTACATATTTTTATATTTTTTTTTTTGGTTTTTTTTTTGTTCTCTTAGCAGCGGCTGCCACATGCAGCCATGCATCCAATGGGTAGCCAAGAAAATGTGAACATTGCCGTTATATGCTTTGTCTTAGCGTTGCGACTAGCGTCTATAAGCTAGCGCAATGTGTGTGTGTTTGTGGATGTTTGGGTGTGTCTTCTCATATATACACACACGCACACCCGCACACACACTAATAGCATGCACATATGAAATATATGGGCGAGTAGCGCTGGTAACCTTGGCGTCGGTTTCTTTTGCTGCTTAACGGTTTGCTTTGCATATCGTGATGGGTGAGAGAGAGAATGAGAGTGAGAGGGGGCGGGGAGGGGGGTAGCTACCACAGCCACGCAGTTGCTGCGGCAGCCGCAACACTGCAGCATACAGCGCCAACACAGGTCGGTGTAGTCGGTGTGTGTTGCATGTAAATACTTCGAAGGTAGGCAAGGTAATGCACTGCAAACAATTTTAAAAAATGTCCCGCAAAAATGATAAAATACTTAAACTATATAAATCTACGTTTATTTTTAGGAAATCAATATATATGTAGAAGGGTTTGGTTAGCTTAAATGAACAAATGTAGGCTCGGCCTACAAATCAAAAGTCTTCTATTTAAATATGACTTTCAATTAACAGGGAATATAAATTATTAATATACATTCTTATTGAATTCAATAAAATTCTATATTAATAATATTTTTAATCAGACCAAGAACTAAGTCTGCTTATATTATGGATATGATTTAGCACGTGTATCGTAAGCTTGCGGTGAATTTTTAGCAAATTTATTTTATGCTTATATATATATAAACGCCAGTGCAAAGCAAAATCTTAGCAATTCAATATTTATCGGGATTTGAGCTATATTCAAATATAAGTATATATAAACGAGCCTGAAGTGAGATTCCAAAAGGAAAGCCTTTCGATGCTTTTATGCCTCGTGGCTGGAAAAAATGATGGCATCAAATAAGTACTTATGGCTAGATTATTATTATTTGAGCTGACTCGAAATTTATTGCTGTGCACAATTAATTCGCTGTTGGCGAAAAAATGTCATAACATGAAGAGTGATATTCCACGCTCCAATTACGAGCAGCCGTGCCAGTGTTCCAACAGAAAAATGCGCAAAGTGACGGACAGGCAGAGGGTCGGGCAACCAGCCAGCGCTCAGGCTGTGGCATGCCTCAGCCCGACTGAGTCTCGGCTCGTACTGCCCTGGCCTGGGCTGGCCTGGCCTAAGCTCCGCTCTGCTCAGTTTTGTTGCAGTTTGTGCATGCATATACGCTTATGTAACCAATGTCATCGTTATTTTTAACTTAATTTACATGCTTAACTAAAGTTGTCAGAAAATTATGTTGACGCATGCAGCTTTCAATTATGTTGCATACACGAGGGGCCCTCTGCCGCATGCTCCCGCCAGCAACATGTCCTTGTGGACGCGCAACTGCCGCGGGAGTCGCCTATGCTTGCGCATGTTCACACCAATATGGCGGGCCAACATGGCGTATGAATTCATCGTTTGTCATGTGAACATCACATTATCATAATTTTTGGCATGTCAATCACGCGACGCCGCTACAAAGGTCTTCCACGCACACATACGCGCGGTATTCGAGGGCACATATGTAATTATAGCAGTTAATCGATCTATGTTCAAATAATATTCATCCAGTTTAGCTGTATTGAACAAAAATTTGCTTTCAGTGAACAAAGTCCGAAATTAATATCGATTTTTGGCATCGAATAAAAAAAGGTCACGAAAACAATCGCTGCTAAACAAAAAGTTGAAAACTTTATTTTTACTTATCCCAATCCCATAAAAAATCCTTATAAATATTTGTTAAGAAGCCGTCGTTGTCCGGTTAAGGCAACGTCGACTGCCACTGAAGTTCCAGGAACTACCAGCTATTTTGCAGTAATTTGGTGTAAATTTCCCATGACTGCAGAGGACAGTTACTAAGAGCTGCCAGAGAAAATTTCGAAATTCTTTAAGTTGCGTGTTGTTAGCCTCAGCATGCTTCCCTTGACGGGCAATTGCTAGTGCCTTTCCCAGTAGCTAAGAGAATACATGAGCGTAGTGAATGCTCGATTACAAAGCATTAAATAATGATATATACATATTCATATACAAATATATTTATAAATATATATACATATATGGACACTGATAGTATTACTATTAAAACATCGTTGGACAGTTTCTATATATTTTTTTTTCGGCTTTAATTTTTCTCAGAT